CAAGTGATGCAATTAAATTACAAATCAATTTAAAATCTACATGTTTCAGTAAATCTATGGACAGCAGCAAAAATATGTATATTAAGGGAAGAATATCCATGATTAAAATGAAAACAATGTATATATATTTCTAAAAAAGGCAAAGAAGCATTTCATTTTCATTTTATTTGATTTTCTTCAAAGGCACTCAAACAGAAAAGGAAGTCAGAGTATGATTTCTGCTGAAGCTGGAACTTCTAAATGTGCAATGTTTATGTGAGTACAATTTATTATATGATGAATATAATTTCCATGATAGTTTAAACTGTGGAAGGTTTCTAAAAACAAGCTTCGCCTCTTCATTATAGAAGACACCCTGTATTGACGTATTTTAAAGGAATTTTTGACACATCACGTTCTTTAGCATACTTATAGCAAATGTCAACACATCTAGCATGTTACCAACTAAAAAGAATCAAGCCTATTAGTGAATTTGTTTTACTAATTTATAAACCTTTGTCTGATTTTTAATCCAAAACTTTTAACTTAATTTTATGTATAATTATGTACATGTATTTAATTTTCTTCCTCTGACTAAATCTCAGGTGGTGCTTCTAAAGCAGACAGTCACTGCCAGCTGTCCGTAGCCTCGGTGTTCAGGTGTCAAGGACATCTCCAAGACAACACAAGACTTGTGCTTGCCAGTAACTTGTTAAGCAGCTGACCATGTAAATCCAGGTGTGGGTGAAGAATCTGATGAATTATACCCACATTTTTGGCAAGCTACACTAGATATGTGTTTTCATGGATGTGAGAGACTCTGTTTTCTGTTACATTAATATTGATTGTGCATGCCAAAATAAACTATTATTCAATACAGTGTGTTATAAAAAACAAATTTGTATACTTGAAAAATCTAGATTTTGTTTAGATTTTTAATCAAAAAAATAGAATATTTTATAATCTGCTTTTATAGCCCAATTTGGGTGACCATCTGTAGGTTTTTCCAATCTAACAATTGGAGCTACCCAGTTCTCTTATACTCAACCTCTCCTATACAGTGAATAAGATTCCCAGAATATTTGTCACCTAGTGTCATTGTGAACCTCCTGTTTTTCTTTTCCATCGAATATCTACTTCATACATAAACTCTTATTTTGAAATACAATAAAGATAGAGATAGACAATCCACTTGCAAATTATCAATTGTTTTTGACAATTTGTATCTTCGACGATATTTTCATAATAATTCCTGATTTAATCATGTTAATCGAATCATTTAGCATTAATGACTGTAAAAATGATTGTAGAAGTTTATTGCATAGTTCATGTAAAAAAGTTTCAATTTATCAATATTATTTAATCTATAATTACATAGACTTATAGGAGAGATATGAGTGGGTTATGATTCCACATTCAGAGTGCTGTTTATTTTCTCTTATGAATGAAATATTTTTATCTGTCCAGAAAACCTTTGTCTGTACAGTTCTAGTACATGCATTATTTATTTTTGGTGTATAAAAGTCATTGCTGAGATTTATCAGTTGTTTGTTTGTATGTGCATTGTTAAAGAACATATTCAGTGAACAAAATAAGCCAATTTATATGTGCATTAAAGTATCATGTATTTTGTATATATTGTTAATGAGAGGTTGTAAGTGTAGTAAATTAAGAAAGAAGTTGTTTTATAAATATCTAATTAATGATTTGTTGGAAAATAAGTGTGTGTTTTTTTTTTAATTCTAGGAAAAATTCAGGCTGACCACATTTCATAAAAGGACGGTAGTTCTTTCTGTCCTCCAATTGTTTAGATTTTGATATTTTTTGCTTCATAGAATTGATCAGAACAAAAGTCTGCTTCATAGCCAATGTGAAAGGGCTAGATTAAAATGATTTTAGTTGACTTATTGGATGTCAGGGAAAAAGATACCAATGATACTCACTATTTTTATTGCATAGGTCAACACAAGTAAACATAAATGCTTGTTTATTTTATGAAATGAAACATAAACAAAAAGGACAATATTAGCTGCACTGATACTGTAATGACTAGCTAAAAGCAATCAGGTTTAACAAATTTAAAGGGTCTATATTACCGAGTGCTAATATAAGAAATGAGAAAACCAAAATGATGTTTCCTTTTTATGTGTCGTGTTCAGTTTTAATCTACAATGAAAAGATATGTACCGGTACATGTAGATTTATATAAACAAGAAACTTTTCAGATGAGAAGATCACCATTACTATGTTAATACATGTATACAAATCAACAAATACATGTAATTTTACATACCTCTCTACTAGATTTTTTAAAGAGCATGAAGTTTAGCTACTAAAAAAAACTATTTATAGATATATTAATGTTACATTTTTTTTTCTTTTGTCATTAAATTTAGATGTCATTGAATTTCTACTTAAAGGGGTCTTGTTGATCAAAATGTCTAAAAACCATGAAATCCTGAAAAATTGTTGATATTGAAATGCATCCTTTTTCCTTTGTACATACAAATGAAATTAAATTTATAATACTGCATTGAAGCATTCCATTATTTAGGTTCATACCTGCCCACTTTTCCACTGTTGGTGTATTTCTTCTGCTTTTTATCACTTATATATTACATTGCAACGTTCCAACAATTGAATTTACCCGGTAGTTCGTGTTTTAAACCAGAGGCCATGAAATTCACAATTTTGAAAAAGGCATCATTGCTTTTCATAACTATACACTTAGCATGCTTACTTTGGTTACTTAATACCCAGAGGTAGATCAGAATAATAAAAAAAGAAAATGCATTTCCACTTTATAACCATCAGTTGTGCACCCACTTCAAAGGAACCACTGACCCTGGGACCACATATTTCAAGATTTTGGAAATTTTATCATAAATTTTATTTCATCATAAATGGTTGATTAATACCAAAGAGCAGATTTCAAAGCATTAATTTGTTTTCAAAATATAGACAGATAAAAGATAAAATTATCTTATGAACATGCCAGTACCCCTGAAATTAACCATTCTGGAAGAGGCACTTTTCTTCATCTAAGTATGTATCCAGATCATTGGCATAATACCCAGGAGGAAAGGAAAAGATTTTTAAGGAATTCATGCATTTTCACTATATAATCAAGAGCCCCACCTGGCTCCACAACCCTTGACCCTGGGGCCAATAAATTCACAAATTTGGAAGAGGCAGCCTCAGTCAACATAACTATGTACTTGGCTAGTTATGTTCCCCAAATGAAGTTTGGGAACATATTGTTTTTACTTTTTCTGAATTTTTTCTTTGTTCTCCGGTACTTTTTTGTCCGCGAGTGTTCTCGTAAACTACTCATCCGATCTAGGTGAAACCTTTTTAGGGTCACTAGGTATGTTATGTAGATGTGCGGAACGAAGGTCATTTTGCGCGCACGTGCGTGCAGGTGCGCGCACGTGTAACACGTGAAATGACCAATATAATAGAGTTAGCCGTAACTTTTTAAATATTGGATGAAATGCTTTGAAACTCATAATATAAGGATATAATAGTAGTATAGACATGATGACATGGTCAAAATAGCAAGATCTCACGCGCATGCAGGTGTCCTTCGCTGCGATTGGCTGAAACTTAAAGTCTAAATATCTATTTTGTTTTCTGACAAAATCCTTTGAAATTTTGAACATAGTCTTACATTATGAAGATCTACAGCATGATATATAAGAATAATCTTGAACGCACGCACATGCACGTGTGCTACAATCTGATTGGCTAAAACTTTAAATGCCTACAACTTTCTTGGTTCTCAATAATACAGGGTGAAATTTCAAATATGAATAGATATAATGATTGCCTACATTATACTACTATCAAAAGTAAATACATGGACGTGCATGCACATGCGACCGCACACAATGTATTAAAAGACAGTATACTTGAGTGTTTGATGTTCATGCAGAATTAAGAACTTCTAAATGTCAAGACATGTAACATACTGAAGCATGCAGATCTTTTTACCCTTGACCTTGAAACTTAGGTCAAGGTCACTAGTAACCTGAATAAAATGTTGACATTAACTATTTACCAAAATCACCTTGACCTATGAACTTGAAATCGACCTTAACCTTTGTCCTTGACCCAAGGGTAAAAAGAAACATGAAGTACATGTACATGTATCTAGAAACACCTTTCAGAGTTTATTTCGGTTGACAGGTTAGAAGTTAAAGAGGTGGTGGTTTTTAATGACCTTGACCTTTCATCCAAATGTCACAATCAATCTCAAGTTCTTGGAATAGGATACAAGATTCAACTCCAACGTTAAATAGGTTAAGAATAAAAATAACCTCCCCTCCCCACCCACCCCCCATCCCACACACACAAACAAATCAAATTAATGGCACCGTAGAGAATCACTGTTAAACTCAAATAACACCTCTGACCCACATAAAATTTCAGGAAAACTGCAGAAAAAGCTCGAGGAAAGTGTATTAAAATATTTCATTTGAGTTTCCAAAGTATATAGAAATTATTAATTTATACAGAAAAATTACAAATCCTGTCGTGTTTAAAATTAAAGTGCAGATGACCAAAGTTGGCATATAAGCCTTTTATAGCCTATTTATTCAGATGTCGTTAAGACATTCGATTCTACTGATTTGAAATAATATTTTAATACCAAGCATCCTTTGTTTAATTTACCTTTGAAATTTATTTGAATTTTTTTTAGAATTACGCAATCCCCAGAAATAGCGATTTTCGGTATATTAAAAATCAATATACATGTACGCTCCTTCGTATAATAATCAGATATTTGCATTCATGAAAAAAATATTAATAAGAAGGTGTTAAACAATATAGGTCACATTAGCTGACACGAATGTCTTTTTAAACATCTCTTGTAAAACCCAGAGAGTAGCCCCCTATGCATTGGAAAAAATGAATAGTTCCGGTCAAAAATACTTTATATATTTATTTACAAAGTATATAAAATTTACCAGGCACAGGTATCAGAGTTGTCAAAATGGCCTGAGAGGAAATATTAAAAAAAATTCTGAACAGAAAGGAAAATCCCTTTTCCATGTATGGAACTACTATTGAATAAGTTCATTTTGATTGGTTAGGTATTGGCGTGATACCCTTAGTCGACTTTAACCCTGCCTTGTCATCGGAATAAAACCAACTTTGAGCCCGAGGTTAAAATAAGTAGAGAAATAAAATGTGAATCGATATATTAAAAATATGACATATGCTTGAAAAATGGTAAATTTATATATGTATTTTTTTCTTTGATTCGTGGGATAGAAAGATATGTTAATCGCTTAATCAACATGCCATAATCATCTTGCATATGCATGTACGTGTGCGCGGATGCAAAACGTTAAACAATATATCGTTGATAGTTGATATCATTGTAACTTTTATATTCTTAAATGAAATCTTGGGATACTTAGCATATTTATAAAAGGTCTTAGAGGAATAAGGCACGATAAGGGACATGAGGAGCGTTTGGGGAACATCTGTAACGGTCCCCGTTACAATTAGCACTAGTTTATTTAATACCCAAGAGGTGAGAAATTTTTTTTCAAAGAATTTATGTATTTTCACTATATAATCAATAGAGCCCCACCCTAAGACCAGATCCCCTGACCCATGGGCCTTAAAATTCGAAATTTTTGAAGAAGCATTCTCGTTCATTATAACTGCACTTTATAGTTTGTTTGTTTAATAGTCAGGGGCAGAGAAGATTTTCAAATAATTCATGCATTTTCACTTTACACTCAATAAAGCCCCACCTTAATACCAGAACCCTTGACCCTGGGACCATGAAATTCACAATTTTGGAAGAGGCAGCCTTATTCAACATAACTGTGTACTTGGTTAGTTTATTTAATATAGCCAGGAGCAGAGAAGAAGATTAAGGACTGTGCCATGATAGGTATTACAAGGGGGAAATCTGGTAAAGAATGACATCACCAAAGTTCTTCAGGTGAGTAATGTGACCCATGGGCCTCTTTTTTTTATGGTTGCAACCATCAAAGTAAAGGAGCTAGTGGATGGTTTAATTTTAATCAGATCACAAATGTTCATGGATGATACATCTTGGGAAGCACATTACTGGACTTGCTTTGGATGCTAGATCAGTCCTATAAATTTTCCAAATGAGTGACCAGGTTAAATCTTTTACAACGGGTCCATTACGTGGTCAAGAAACTGTAATGCCTGTCTGAATCAAACTTGCATGGATGATGCATCAAGGGATGAACACTCAGATACTATGTTTGAGTTACATTTTCTGGATGAGTTGTTTTAAGATGAGGCTTTCCAAGTAACTGCAAGCCCTATCAGACCAAAATTGCATAAATGTTGCATAGGGATGCAAACTACTTAGTACTAGATTATTAGTTTCTCTAGAATAAACTTCTTTTCTTGAAGACAACATTTGACAGTCATTTGTTGCGGGGAAATCTGTAATCCCTAATTTTCATATGTACATGTATAGTGTATACTTCTACTGAAGTGGTCACTGCTTTTTGAACATCAACTCTCTAAGAAAATACTCAGAATTGAAGAGATTTTTTATTCAAACATTATAGAAAAATATTACACACAACTAAAAATACTTGCAACAATATGTTGTACATGTTTGTTTGAAGTTTGGAATTAAAGTCACTTCAAATGTACCAAATAACTTATTTTCCTTCATTCTCTGTGTATTGAAATCCCTCTTTTTCAACCTTTTCCCTAAATTGCAGGTAATTTCTTCTCTTCAGAAAGTACTTAGACTGGAAATAAAAAGTTTTAACAGTTTTAGACTACATATTGCCCAGTACTTGTGAACATTAAATTGTTTAGGGCAGGAATTATTTCCTAATACATATAACAAGAGGCCCATGGGCCACATTGCTCACCTGAGAAGCTTTGATCATTCTGTTCTTTACCAGATTTCCCCCTTGTAATAAATATTGTGACCCCACCCTACCCTACTGATCATAATTTAGACAATTTGAAATCTACACTACCCCAGGATGCTTCCACATAAGTTTCAGTTTTTCTGGCCCAGTGGTTCTTGAGAAGATTTTCAAAGATTTTTCCCATGTATTTCTATGTAAAACTTTGATTCCTCATTGTGGCCCCGCCCTACCCCAAGGGGTCATGATTTAAACAATTTAGAAATTACACTACCCCAGGATGCTCCACATACATTTCAGCTATTCTGGCCCAGTGGTTCTTGAGAAGAAGATTTTCAAAGATTTTTCCAACATATTTCTATGTAAAACTTTGATTCCCCATTGTGGCCCCGCCCAACCCCCGGGGGTCATGATTTGAATAATTTAGAATTTACACTACCCCAGGATGCGTCCACATAAGTTTCAGCTATTCTGGCCCAGTGGTTCTTGAGAAGAAGATTTTCAAAGATTTTTCCCATATACATGTATTTCTATGTAAAACTTGGATTCCTCATTGTGACCCCACCCTACCCCTGGGGGTCATGATTTCAATAATTTAGAATCTACACTACCCCAGGATGCTTCCACATAAGTTTCAGTTTTTCTGGCC